TTATGGCTCTTCTATTCTGTTTGAGATCGTACATTTCCATCCGCTTCAAAGTCAACTCCTCTGCCTGGCTCTGAAGACCTGGATAGCCTTACCTCACCCAATTCATTACCCACTGCTCCCGGGTTCTCTGCGTAGCCAATCTGAGTGCTGGAAAGGAAAGACAGATCACAGCTCTGCCAATTAACAGCTGATGCACCTCAGAGCCGGCTGTCTTCCCTGGAGAAGAGTTAACAAATGGCAAATGGAAGGGTTTACGTTTACAGGAGGAGAAAGCCTTCCCAAGAGAGTAAGTAACACATGCATCCTCATTGCTGATACTGAGCTTTTACCAAATAGTCAAAATAAATTAATTAACTTCATCTTCCATGTAGAGTGAGGCATACAAGGGAGGGGGTGGCACTGAGTGGCAGTGTAGACTGAGGGCCATCATTAAAAACACCATTCTCACAAATGACTTTGTTCTGCACTATAGGGACGTTCTTGGAGTGACCCACTCTGAAATTGCCCTGGTTTTTATAGTTTTGAATTCTTTTATCTGCTTGTTCTAGCTGCTCCCCTCTTCTTGTGCTGTTGAGACAAAAGATATTATTTCCTTCTCTTATCAGTGCACCTGCCTATTGGCTGTGGGCTAGAAACTAGAAAACAGAAATTTTAAGTCTTTCAAAAATAAAAATAAATTGGCTTCGAGTGGAAGCCTGTGCCCTGTGAAATATGATTGTCAAGGACGAGGATTGGGGGGTGGGGAAGGAAGGAATGGGGACTGGGGGGTATTGGGAGGGCCGCACACTGAAATCCCGGTGCCCAGACCACACCCCAGACCAGATATCAGTATTTTTAAAGCTTCCAGATGATTCTCAATGTGCAGCCAAAGCTGAGCAGCACTCACTGCTCTGGAGACTGTCACTGTCCGTGATCGAATTGGCCAACACCGTAAACACGTGGTGGAGGAGACGGAAAGCCAGGGAAACCGCAGCCGGGGCTGAGGGCAGGCCTGGCCCATGGCTCCCCACGCTCCCCCCTTCAGATGCAGAATATTTGTCTTCATGAGAAAAAAATTCTGACAGGCTTTTACTGTGTTAAATTTCCTGAATCATTTTTTATTCTGCCTTTTTTGGAAGCATGTACGTTCTTTCTTTGGGTCATTAGGATGTAGTTGATAAATTATAGTATTTCTTAGTTCTTTTGAGAATTTCCACAGGATAAATTTAGCCCTGGCCCTCCAAGGTCATTTTCATTTCAAAAAATAGGTAATAAACCACTTATTAAATGTCAAATACTGTGCAAGTTTCTGGGGATATAGTGGTGTTGAGGTCCCCAAGACCACTCACGTTTGAGTATGTGCTATAAGGACTCACAGGAGCTGGATTTTGGTTGTATGCACAGCTAAGATTTATTACAGCGGTGCAGTCAGGCTACACAGTGAATCATAGGGGAAAAGACTGAGCTGGTCTGGAGAAGTCATGTGCAGGCTTCCTTCTGCTCTCCCTCCCATGAGTGCACTCCGGTGGTGAAATACAACATGCATGCAATGGTTCTGCCTGGGGAAGTTCATTACAGACTCTGGCCTTAGGTTTTATGGGGGGCCGGTCACGTAGGCACCCTCTGCCTCGTGCGTTCCCAAATTCCAGGTCCCCAGAAGGAAAGCAGGTATTCAGCATAAGCCACGCTGTTTGTACGGTTTAGGCACAGCGGCCACTCTGATCATATCAGTGTGAGGAGCTGGTTAGCAGCCAGTTCCCAGGTATCAACAAGGGCTGATCTGGCAAGCAGGCGAGGACAGAAGCCTCAGCCCTGCTGGGTTAGCTCTCCTCTGCAGAAATGGTAGGCCGAAATGGCCTCTGCCCTCTTGAAGCTCTGTGTAACTGGGGAGATGAACGTTCACCTGGTCAGCACCCCTACAAATATAAACAAGTCTCTGTGAGAGTTCCAGGAAGGAGAGCTACAGGGTGCCACGAGAGCTGCCACAGGAGCTCTGCCCTGGCCTCCCTATGGCTTCCCCCGGCACACGAGGGGAGATCCGAGCTGAGGGAAGATCAGGACTTATGTCATTGGAGAGGGCTTTGCAGAACGTTCCAGGTGAGGAAACAGCAGGTCTAAAGGCTGTGTAGCTATAAGCATGGCGCCACTGAGGGGCTGAAATAGATGGAAGGGTGGGAGCTAGGGAGAGCACGCAAAGCCTTGCAGGTCACGGGGAGGATGTGGGGCCTCATCATAAGAGCAGCGAGGGACCACGGAAAGGTTTCAAGTGAAGCTGGGTGTGTCGGGGAGGACTTCAGTCATTGCTGTAAAGTTGAACAATTTGGTTACTGTCTGCTAAGGCTGTAATATCAACAAATGTGAAACCTTATTTTTTGTGCTCTCTTCTATCAGTCGTGTCTTTTTAGTCTCACCTCTATTTTGTAGATAGGAACAGTAATTCTCAGTTCTGGTTATGAAATGTACCAGAGCATTTGCAATGATTTCTGAGGCTCTTGGTAAATCTTCAAAGCCAAATTAATTTCACCATCCATATTCACATCAAACACACACAATTTAAAGCAAAACATATATTTTTGACTGAGTAAGTGAAGTCAAGGAATCAATAGTAGGGATCTGGAACCTATAAACGTTTGAGGATAGAAGAAGAGCAATTATTTGATTACTTATAGTATTTGCTAAACATCCACTTGAATAGTAAGCATGGAACAGTGAAACATAGCTTCTTCCTCCAAGAAACTTACTAAAGGAGACACAAAACTTTAAAAAAAAATTATAATATTGAGAGAAAAAAATTTAAGGGACTAATGGTATAAATCAACTGAGTATTTTTATGCTTATCGTTTTTGTATTAATATAATAGTACTATGTGTTTATCATAGACATTTTCTCACATAAGGAGGCAAACAAGAAAAAAGAAGACAAAAGGGAGAAAGAGAGAGACATCCCCTGTACTTTTAGTACCAATTTTTAAAAATAATTTTCCTCAGCTCTCCAATTTAATTATTTCCAATTATTTACTATTTAAATAGTCTCACAACGAATATTCTTGTAGCTGAATCTTTGCACACATTCATGGTTATTTCCTAAGCCTATATTTCTAACATGGGTATTGCTGAAGCCAAAGGAATGCAAAGCTTTGCATTTAAAGCTTTGGATATTTATTTCCAACTTGGCCTCCAGAAGTTGTACTTTTTATATCCTTCCTAGCAGTGCCCATTTCCCACATCCTCTCTGGCTCCGAGCATGACGCTTTTCTAAAGTCCTTGACAATTTGATAGGGAAGCAGTACCTCGTTTTATTTGTGCATGAGTGACTCACGTGCTGAGTGTGGACACACGAGACATGCTCAGCTCTGTGGAAACAGAGACACGGGACATCCACTCTCTGCCCTCAAGACAGCTGACCATCTAGGTGGGAAACAGACTCACGCCTGGTGGCAGCGGGCATGGCGAGGAAAGGGCTTCTTTGAGAGTGCTGGGGTTTTACTGTTGTTGATCTGTTTTAATTGTAGTTTCCCATGACTTATTTCTGAGGGAGGACTCAACAGGACTTGGTTCTTAGATGAAACAATGAAGTAGATGGCATGAAAAGTGACTGTAGGGCTGCTAGCTAGAAAAAGGATAGAAACTGGATATTGGAAATTGGATAACTATGAAAAAGACCTGATTCAGGGCCAAGGATACAGTTACCCAGAGGAGCCTGGGCGGGGGTGGGGGTAGGGATTGCTTTTGCTTTCTCTGTCCTTTTAACTTTTGGGGGAATGTACCATGAATTACTGGTGTAAAGAAAAAAAATAATGAATTTTTGTAATCTTAGGTGTGTCGAATTTAAAGCATCAGCAGTTTAAAGTTCAGAGGCCAATGGAATACGAGGTTGGGGCACAGTTAAGAGAGTGGGGCTTCCAGTGACAACTTAGGTGTCATCAGTATCCAGTGGCTTTGGCCACCAAGGGATGGATTAAATTTGAGGCAATGTGTATGTATGTATATATGTGTGCTTGTGTGTGTGTGTATGTATGTATATGTGTGTATGTGTACGTATGTATATATGTGTATGTATGTATATGTGTATGTATATATGTATGTATGTACATATGTGTGTATATGTGTATGTATGTATATATATGTGTGTATATATGTATATTTCTCAAATTGGGGAGCCTCATACATGTGGAAGCACGGTGCCGACATAGAGGTTTCCTCAAGGTAAGTACTTCTGGAGGAGAGAGAGAGAGAGACAGAAAGAGGACAGCTATCACACTAGCCAGTTCTGCTGCCCTGAGATGTGGTCCTGAGAGGCAAACCGATTTGCTCAAGGACACACAACATACTCTGCAGTAAAATTCCGGTGTCAGCAGTTGCTTTGGGCCAAAATACACACTGAGCTCCAAGGACAGTGTTTGGGATTGTGTAAGGAGAGAACAGAGAGAGCCAGCTTTGCGCTCCACAACTGCATGTTAAACTATGTGTCAGGCTCTTGATCCTCACCCAAACGGCCTGGATTTCAAACAGGTAATTTCTGTGGAGCACTCCCTCTTGGAAGCCTGTGAGACATCCTGAATTCCACAACTGACTTCCTAGAGCTGGGTTTTTGGAGAGGAGGATTCACATATCAACTACAGAAACACAAGAATGTTAAACGTCCCTCCGGGTTAACAAAAATTTCTGTGTGTAAAAGGAGGTATGTAAAAAAATACAGAGTACTTTCCAGAACCAGGTTCTACTTACCCAATGGAGTTGGAGAATCAGAAACGAAATTATTTCCTGAAGAAGAGGTTTGGGCTCATGTTGGAATGCAGGAAGATCATCTGAACAGCTTCCACCCTATTCCTTTTGCATATCAAGTGGACAAGCCAGTTCAAACCCAGACATTTTTACACAAAACTCCCCACAGTCCCCTAAAACATAGTCACTGTGCATCAGAATTCCCCACTAAATTAGTTTTTGGCATTTACTTCCAACCTTCCCCCATATTTTAAGCCCTGCTTCTAAAAGATAATAATACACATACCGGACAGATGATTTAAAAAGGAAGCAATGTCTATAACTTCAGCAGATGTAAAATGCACATGTTCAGGTATCATTATGAATTAGAAGCTGCCAAACTGATAAGGAGTAAAGAAAAGTCATGCTTTTTTTTAAAGTAAAGGTAGAAACTTGGTTCATCAAAGCTTTTAGTGTGGGATCAAGTACTTAAGTCACCATATACAGACCCGAAACATGCTCGCCCAACCCCAGGAAAGCAGAACAGGCCAAAGTGGTCAGGCTTAAGAAATGACACGAATTTCACAATGAGTCTTCTCCTCTCAATGTTTTGAAATCCGAAGCACTACACTGGAAAAATCCACACCTTTGTTGGGCACAGGCTCAGGGAAGAGGAGTGACATGGCTTGAATTCCTCAGAGATTGAGAAGGTTCACACTCTGGGGGTGCTTTCAATTTCCATGACAGATTCACCCTCCGGGGGAAATGCCGCGGTCCAAATGGACTAGTGGTATTGATCAAAGAAATAAAACATTCATGATTAGTTCTTTAAAATACATCTTTTGGCATTTGGTGATTTTCTAGCAAGTGCAGAAGAAAAAGTCTTAGCCCTTTGGGAATGTCTTAAGTTACACTGAGAAGCAGCCAAGCCTTGCGTAGACCTGCTGTCACTTGTCCCTTTTCTTTCTTTGTGCTGCCACCTAGAGAGAAAAGGAAAACATATGTTGTATCCTGGTGAGGAGAAGCAGTCACCTGAATGCCCAAGCACCATCTGCACCTTCTAGAACAGAAAAGCAAGGCTGGCTGGTTTAGTCCTCAGAATTGGCAGCTGTGCGTTTTCGCTTCTAAAAGAAGAACGTGGGTGCAGGAAGGGGTCCCATTGTGGCCAGCCTCGGTGATCTTCTAGGGCTCATAGTGGGCTTCTGGAGGGGAGTGGGTGGGCAAGAAGCATATTTTCCTTCCAATGTTCAAAGGGAGTGAAATACACAATAATGTAAGGTCACCCAAACTTATGAAACGGACGCCATCATTTTAGAAAAAAATGAAAATATAAGAAACACATGAAAACAAGGTTCTAAAATGAATAATTCTTAAACCATTTTTCTCCTCTTTTCCTTTTCTTTTTCTTCTTCTTTGTTTTCTTTTTTAAAGGTAGATCCTTTTTAAAAAAGTAGGAAGCCTTACATAGACTCCAATGCACATAAAAAAGATAAATATAGACTTACTGGTAGAAGTAGTAGTCCCTAGTATCCTTCTAAAGAATGCCTCTGAACAAGTTTAATCACTATAACTGGATTTCCTACTGAGGATGAAGTCAAACATAGTTTATTCTGGAGCTATAAGTTACAAAAGAAAACTGTTGATGGCGATCAGATGTCTATGCCATGACGTGGACAAGATGTGACATAGGACAGACCTTCCCTGACCACCTGCCTCCCGAGGACTCTGTCTGCCAGCCTAGCTCAGCTTCTCCCCTAGCCCCCAGCACTAGCTGACAAGCCCATCTATCTGCCCCCTAGAACAGAGACTTCTTGAAGGCAGTATTTCTGTCTGCCATGTTGAAAGCTGCACGTCTAGTGCCTAGAACATTTGGCACATAGTGGGTGCTCAGTAGATGTTCTTAAAGGAAAATATGAATCTAAGCTTATTCCTTGGCTGCTTTTTCTTTTGAAAGAACTAATAACATGACTAACTTTAATTTTACACATATTCTGATTAGAACACGTGTAAGGTAACAACTCTTTTAACATCTGTGAAGAAGCTCTGATTCCTCTGTAAATCACATTTGGTGCTTTTCCCTCCTCTCAAATAGGCATGATTACTGTAAGACCATCAAAATAACATTTATTAACAAAAATACAGTAAATGCTAAAAAGCTGACAGCTGAATTAAAGATTTGACATGCAAATGCACCAGCTAAGTAGAAGCTTTACTTAAATTCTGGCTCACCACTGCTGAGGATAAATTGACCTGCAAAACTCATTCTGAATAGAGCAAGAAGATGAAGCAGAATAAATCTGATTTTTATTTTCTTAAAATAAAATTCACAATTAAAACAGACTTTATTGTTAGTGCCATGGAGTCAATGCTGACTCTAGCGACACTGTGTATGGCAGAGCGGAGCCCTGCCTGGTCTTTTTGCGCCATCCCCTCACCTTCTGGTGCTGTATCAGACATGTTCCGCTGCTATTCATATGGTTTTCATGGACGATTTTTCTGGAAGTGCGTGGTCAGGTCCTTCTTCCTAGTCTGTCTTAGGCTGGAAGCTCCACTGAAGCCTGTCCACCCTGCTTAGGCACCACAGGGAACCACACCACCCATTGGTTGGTTGTCATACTGTGGTGGCCACGTGTTACTGTGATGCTGAAAGCGATGCCACCAGTATTTCAAATACCAGCAGGGTCACCCACGGAGGACAGGTCTCAGTAGAGCTTTCAGACTAAGACAGACTAGGAAGAAGGACCTGACCACCCACTTCTGAAAAAAGTTGGCCATGAAAACCCTGTGAAGAGCAGGAGAGCACTGTCTGATAGAGCGCTGGAAGATGAGAGGATGGTGCAATAAGACCAGGCAGGGTTCCACTCTGCTGTCCACAGGGTCGCTAGGAGTCAAAATTGACTGGATGGTACTAACAAGAAAACAGACTACTGAAGGATGAAAGACCATAAGGCTACACAAAAATGGTATAGACAGAATCTGGGGGAGGCGAAAAGGAAAGCAGCTTGGGCCTGAGGATAGAAGAGGAGCATGGGGCTCTGCCACTTTCACTCTGTGTGACCTCACTTTGACCATCTATAAAACAGGCGTACGTCCCCTTCCTGGTCTACCTTAGAGAGTTGTTGTAAAGATTAATTTAACTACTGATATGGGATTGCTGTAAAAACTGTAAAGTACTATTAAACATAAGGTAGGAAAGCTTTTCGTCAATCTAATGACCCTCAGGAGTGTAAAAACCTGAGGAGTGTATAAATCTCAGTGTATAAAAAGGTGTAGAAATCTAATCAATTTCCCGATTACTCAGATGAGGTCAAAGCCTGTGGACATCTTCCAAGGACACTGAGAAAATATCCTTGCACTCTCCACCTTCCTAGACTGGGGGCTCTTTGTCTTCCAAAAAGCGGTTTGACTGTTTAATGCAGTAAACTCTAGAGATGTCTAAATTTTGGATTAGTCCTGGAGAAATGGCTGTTTGGGAAAAAACATGTCATACAAGGCAGCTAGTCAAGTGAGATCAACTTTAAGAACAGAGAAAGTCAATCCTAACCTAAGTGAAGAAGCTGTCTTTCAAATCTGGCGAAGGGGTGACTCCCCAGCATGTAACAGAAGTCAGGACTTCAGGGCAAAGGGACTTTGGCGTAGAGAGTGAGGGAGTCAGAGGTTGTGAGTTTAAGTTCTGGCTCAGTTATTTATTAGTTGTGTGTGACCCTGGGCAAAGCTGACCTCACCTTTTCCAACTGTAAAATGGGGGAATTAAGATCAACTACGCCATACAGTTTCTGGAGGGATTAAACACACAAATTCCGTGAAAAGTGCTTAAAAATTGCAAAGTGCTTTGTCAGTCTTTATTATTACTTTCCAATAACTGTGCTCTTTGCATTTATTTCTAATGCAAACTAATGTGATGTATGGGAAATGAAGAAAAGAGACAAATATATACCACAAACACCACAATAGATGGAGATAATCCATCTAAAGACCTTAGAGGAGAACCTGAGGCATGCTATGCACTGGATGGATGCTAACTCTAAAAGCATTTTGCTCACAGGCGCAAAGCAGATGAGGCTCCCCAAGAAGTAGTGACAGCAGAGAAGGACATCGAATGACTCAATGATCCAGTCTCATCTGGCACAGAAGACACGACTGTGGACCAGCAACGCTTGTGATCTGTCCGTGGATCACAGACTGGAACTACCACCAGCTATAATCCAGCTACTTTAAATTAATTGGTCTTTTTCAACCAATTACTGTTACTTTTTAAAGTAAACTTTTTAGTTTAGTTTGAAACACAGTTAATCATTTTTCCCTTCATTTACATTTTTAAAGATCAAGGTTTCTGTTTATTAGTATTGTCATAAGTTTGCGGACAATATAAACAACACTGTACATTTAGCAAGTAAATGGGTACATTTTAGTTTCTCACTTTGAAATTGCCTTTGCGTCTTGCTGAGGCCCCAAGTAAGAGAAATAGGATCCTGGGAATGGACTGCAGCACACTAGAAATAGACCCGAACCAACGAAACACAATTCCACTTGACATCCACATTAAACCTGATATAGGAGGATCTCCTTGGGACCGCAGAACCAGGAGTATCAGCCTTGGAAGATTAAAGAGCCTGACAGCCAGAGTACGAGGAAAAGTCAAACTGAAGATAAACCAGACATAAAAAAGGAAAGAATGTTGGCAACCTGAGATCAGTTTCAGAAATAAGTATGGTTTGATGAAAAAGATGGAGGCTCTTGTGTGTGTACACAAGTGGTTTTATAGTTTGCAGAATTTTTTTGAAGTTTTCCCCAAACTCAGCACATTAATCAACAAGAAAAATGATGTAATCAGGAGAAAGAAAGGACCAAAGGATTTGAGTAAGCTAAAGTATCCTCATGTTTGATATAATAAAGTCTAAAAAGGCTCTACTCTGAAACTCCTTAAAGAATTTGAAAGGATATATACGTGCATTGATATGTACATATGTGTATACTTATGTGTATATGTGTGTGTCTATGTGTGTATAAGTGTATGTATATATATATAAGCCCCTATTGATTTATTCCTGATATTATTCCCCAAAACAGCACTTTCCATGCGTAATTCCTTTAGTTTTTCATTTCTCAACTACTATTTAACTCCTAGTTAATGCTGCACATTGCAAGTGAGATTAGGGTCTTCATCTTGGCATCAAAGGTAAAGTCAAATATGGAGGAAAAGAGAACTGCTGATTGCACAAATTGCCATTTAACCTATATCTAAGTCATCTATATCTATATCTAAACTCCTGTTTAATACTCCTGGGATCTAACGTACAGCCTGGTGACTACAGTTAGTAATACTCTAGTGTATACTTGAGAGATGCTGAGAGAGGAGATCTTAAGTGTTCTCACCACACACACACACAAGATGGCAACTATGTGAGGTGATGGATGTGTTAATTAGCTTGATTGTGGTAATCATTTCACAATGTATATGTATATCAAAACGTCATGTTGTGTACCTTAAACATATACAATTATTATTTGTCAATTATACTTCAATAAAGCTGGAAAAAAATAAAGCTCCTGAGAAGACAAGGAGTTTCTATAGACCACAGAGATTCTCAAACTTTAAAGTTTAGGTTGTGTGCTGGATATAAATAATTTCTAAACGCCATATAAAAGCAAATTTATTAACATTAGCACTGCCACACAGATGTAAACGATATATTCTAACTTCAGATCTCGTGACACAGATAAAATGAGTATAACGAGTACAGCTCAATCAACTGACAGAAGAAATTCTCAGCCCTTTATATATGGAGATTAAAGATTATATCTATTTATTTCTATTTAAGTTTAAGCCTATACAAGGAGGTTACTAACAAGTTTATGAATATGTCTTTGGACTTCAAATTCTAGAGCATCCCAAAAAACCCACTTTCAGAATGATCCTTGAATTTCAGGGTTCAGCCACAGGTGTTGAGAAACCAATCTCGTACTGTAGAACACTTGT